GTATTGTAGGCCAACTGGTGGCATTCTCAGGCTATGGTATACTGACGACTCCATACAAGTTGATATGAAAAGCTCTAATATGATAATATTGCTTCTCGCACCGAGGTTCACCATCTATGATTTGTTTTTTGAAGCCGAGTCAATAACGATAAAAGGAATTTACTCTCACAGTGTGAAGTCTACATTCATTGATATGCCGCTGTTGTTCATCAGGATGTAATGTGCTCTTCAAATAATGGAACACTACAGATGTTATATACGTATGTATGTATGTATGTATTATTAATTTGTATACCCTCAACAGCGTTAATTAAGTTTGCCAAAGAGTTGATAATACCCTCAAGGTCAGAGACCCTATAATTTATACATAGGTATGTAGAAATTAATAGCGTAATGAGCGAAATCGAACTCCCAAGTCTGTCTTTTTGTACATACGGTACCTAGTCGCTTAGTTCCACAATAAGATCTTCATTTGTCCGAACTGCCTATATAGGAATACTACAGCTTTTTTAGTTGACAAGTTATCTTCAGAAAAATTCGGCATGTATTATTTTCCAAAGCAATGAGAATTTCATAACGAATTGGATGACGTTTTTTCATTCCTTAGTTAAAATTATTTAGTTCTGACCCTTTTGGTCATACATAAGGCAAGTAAGTAACATACAAAACTCTAGCAAAAGACAGAGAAGGGCCTATCTTTCACCATGGGGAAGTTTGAGACTCAAAGAGTCAAAAGCTTAACAATATAGCAGCAGCGGCGGCAAACCTCATTCAAAGGATGGTGGATCCACAGACTGATACCGGAACCCAAATACTAAATGGACATGCTTTAGAAGCTACATGAACAGATTCCAGCACGAAATTAGTCCGAATTGTCCGACGTGTTCAGAGTTTTTTGAAGACTCTGTGCAATATTCTTCTATTGTCGTCGCATTTTAAGTACAAGGGAAAAACTGAAAGCAACACTCGGTGCTAGTTTTACCACGGAAAATTGTATGACACTCATGGAAAGCAGTCAGCGAAGCGGCAGCCTTAATCATATCAAAACATATACATAAACATATATTATGTAGATCTGATTAGGTTTCCGTCAATCCGTCCCTTAGAGGAGACTTAAACGTCTTATCACACCCATGAAATAATACTTAATCAGGTTGGTTCCGTGGGAGAGTGTGGAGTTGAAAGTAGGTTAGGTTTAGTGGACTGCAGTTTAGGCAGTTGAAGTGAGAAAAAGCTGTCTAGCTGTTATTTTGCACGTCAATGGCTATAAGTTTTGCGATGTGTCGTGATGCTTTCTGAGACTTACCTTGTGCAAAAATATTACGTGATTGCTTTTTAATAAATAACTTTCAAAATAAAGCAACGCCAAGCTATTGTGCCAACAACAAAACTGCGAATGACATGCGTATACTTGCATACAAAAATGTGAACATATGTACGCATGTATGTATGTATGTACCTAAGTATATGTTTCTTGCATAAGTTCCAGTGCCGGCAGTCATGTAGACACATAATTCTTGGTATTTAACTTTAATTTAATATCAAATTTCATAGCTGTAAATAAATCAAACAAACACTACCGTATTTACTAAAATAACAACAGCAACAACAACAAGAGGACTCGAAAACAAACTTATTTCGGCAACAGATGTTTGTCTCTACTAATTTTGTTTTCATTTTAGCGTTTTATTGACATTTTGTTGTTGTTTCATTTTTGTGTGTTTGCATGAGTGTGCTTGTGTGGGGGGGTGTGTGGGAAAATGTTTTCCTTTGTACTCATTGAAATTTTTTTTGTATAAAACAAATATATGTGTGTATGTATGTTTGGATTAGTATTAGTGTATTGGTATATAAATATGTGCATGTGGATGCGGAAGTTAAGGGAACCAAACCACATATTTATTGTATAATTTTTAAATTGTTTCTAGATTTTTATGCCACATTTGTTCTATTTTTGCTTACAAGTGTTTATAAGTACATATACATGTGCTGTTGTATATGTTTATGCTTTTGTAAATGCATGTCCATTGTACACTATACATATTTATATTACATATTTACATACAAATACACATATACTTAGTTTCTCAATCTATTGCAGCACATTTTCATGCATGTATGCGTGTGACCTAGTTTCCATTAAAATGAAATTCGTCTTCTCGCATTCAATGTGCGGTCTTATATTATTATCTGGTATGTTGTTGTTGTTTTTTTTATATTTTTATTTTTTCATTTAGAGGCTGATTCGTTTGCTGTCGCACTGCACGCAGGCACACACCCACACCTGTCTCTTATACACATCTAGATGTGTATAAGAGACAGGTCTTATATTATTATCTGGTATGTTGTTGTTGTTTTTTTTATATTTTTATTTTTTCATTTAGAGGCTGATTCGTTTGCTGTCGCACTGCACGCAGGCACACACCCACACACATGATTACATACATACATAAATATGTACTTTTGGGCGGCTTATCACTTGGGCAGGCATTGACTGATGTGATAAGTCGGCATTTTGAGTACATAAATACTTACATATATGTATATGACATGCATACATTTCTACACCTACATACATATGTATGTAATTTACAAAACTTGTAACTGTCAAGCACGAATTTTTGGGAAAATATACATATACTAGAAAATAATTTTCATTGCTATTTTAATGTGTGCTCAATTGCAACTTGATACATTGAACTGAGATCACTGAGAGACTTGAAAATGGTCTCTAGGCCATAGAATAAACATTTGAAAAGGCGTTTCCGAGTGCTTGGAAGTGCATTTGAATCTTTAAACGCGTTGTTTTCCTTTTTCTCAAAATCATGTTTTCAAAGTCGGTGACCAACATTACTCGAAAAGGGCTAAACTAATTAGTCTCGAATTTTAATAGCTTCTTAAATATAATGAGCTCTTATATACTTATGTATATATTTAATGTAATTAATCGAAGATTTTTCTCACCGATAAATGCTTTTTTTTTTATGAACAAAAGCTGAAATTTTGTTAAAAAACCGCCATTTGGTCACAAAATTTTATTTTGTTTATTTTTTCGATTAATAATAGTTTAATAACTAGATTTAACATTACCTCATCGAAATCTGCTTTTTTTTTAATTTCAGGGGATCTAGTTTAGAGATATTGTGGTGACCGCAAAACGTCTTTTTTGAGTGGAGCTCCTGAAGATCAGTTATGGTTTCTTTCCGAATAAATGTTTACTCATACTAAGTCTTAAAATATAGTTAAAGTAAAAGTGTGTATAAATTTTCTCAGAAAAAATTCTTGAAAATTCCCTTTTTTGATCTTCTAACTGTATATAACCTCTCAAAATGGATCCAACTTGGTCGAATTGCGAAAAGGTTATTCACCAAAGTCTCTGTAATAGGAACCGTACCTTTTACTTACTGGGCTGTGTTAGCCTGTGGGATCACACGTTATATTGTGGAATAAACCATAAATAAAACCTACTCCTATACTATACTAAGTATTGTCGCTAACAGCATGGATCAACGAACAATTAGTTTTCGAACAACTTTTTAAAATTGGAAATTGTTACTTTTTTTCTTTGCCGTCGCAAAATTAGTAACACTTGTAGTTAATAGGTAAAAAAAAATATATATGTATGTATGTACATATTTACTTACGTATGAAGGCATTTTAATATTTTTTGTTAGGGCTGGCTTAGTACCAATTTTTATAATTTTTTAATCCTTTCTTCAATTTTTTTCCATAGCATAACTTAATACCTACTTTAGGGTGGTACTCAAAAACTCTAACAGACTTTTTTTATCTTTGTGCCTTTCTACGGATAAAAATCAATGCAAAAGATATTAAAATAAAAAACTCCTTCAAGTTAAAGATTATTAGGGCGCATCGAAAGTCAAAAAGTTTAATTCTTGACGTCTGTGCTTTAATGATTTTTTTCTGAAAAACTACCCCAACTTCAATACACATAATTATTTACTTTTCATTAGCTATTTAAATTTTTTTTGGCCAAGCCGAGTTTGCGTTTTCATACTTTTTGAATCCTTAATTGCCTATTTTCTTTCTTGTACTATTAGCTATAAAAATGTATTAGGGTGGTAGTAAATTATTAATTCAATAACTTATTGAGGCCGTTTCGTGGCCTTGAATCGGTAACACTACGGGAAATATTAATATATTTTTTTAAATTTTCATATAAATATTTTAGTCCAAAATTGTACACGGCAAAGTCAATCATTGAAGTCTGGCAATTTAGATCAAAATGCTTAAGCATTATCTTTTATTTTTTTCCTTGTGGAATTTCCTTCAATAACTTCCTTTTTTACTTTTAAGAACCATCCTAATGTTAGAATGTGTATAAATTGATCTTCTAGTTCTCAACACGTGTTTTGAACTACAAAACCATTGTACAAATTTGTATGTATGTACATACATACTTAAAAAAAAATATATGTATGTATATAAAGCAGCAATCTCTACTTTTCAAGGCATCTGCATCCAGATACGTATGTATATTTATGTACATATGTATACATGCACTTATAAAAATTTGTATTATATTCAATTCGGAGTTGGCTCCGTTGTCGATTTTATTTTGTACACACATTTTCTGTTACTCCAAGTTACACACGCATACAAATGTATATGTACGTACATATACACATAAAGTTAAATATTCGCTTTGTTTTTGTTTCCAATCGTTACACCCTTCTTTTCGCGTATGTTTTTTTGAATTTATACCTTTATTGCACTACTGCTCACTAAATATACATATACAGACGAACAATCAGATACATATATATATGTATGGACATATTCAAACATACATTTGATCACTCATACAATCATATCTATGTTTCCAGTTCCTCTATATACTCCAAGTGTGTACGTGTGTGTGGCGGCAAAGTCATAAACAACAACTTTGCCGCTGCTCTTTGTGCTGCCGTCGTTGACTGCGTTGTAACGCCAGCTGCGCTTTTGGGCAGCGTGGCAGGGGTTTATTCGTGCGTGCCGCCTAGGAGTTTCGTTCAAATTGTATTCGAACGCTGAAGCGAACGGTCGTACTATTTCCCAAAAAACTGCGAGAGTTTCAATACTCAACCAAAAAGCAAACAACTCATCTTATAAACTTGCAATCAAAGTAAAAACTATCACAAGAAATTGAAAATTTTCAAAGTCAAAAGAAAGCGAAAAAGTGTTTCAATTGTGTTGTGAAAGGAGTTTCGAAAATACAAACAGTGTAAAAACTGCGCAAAACGAAATAAAAATTTGTCAGTGTGAATTTTTCAAGTTTTCGAAAATTATTTTTTAACAAAAAATTATTAAAAGAGAACAGTGACTGCAAATTGTGTAGGCTTAACGCTTAAAAACATTAAAACTATTGCTTGAAATTTCAAAATCCGTTTTCGAATTTTCAAATCGTTGCCAAATAAAGCAAACACATCTTAAATGATCACACACTTACTATCCTGATAGTGTCTGCAGTGTTTTTCTGTGTGTGCGTCTTTCAAATACCTGCCTATTATTTCCATCAAAAAGTTGGCGTTTTTAATATCGTGTTGTAAACGAAAAGCTAACACAACAAAATGGCTTTTGCAATTATGAGCCGTGGCTTTTTGCGCACTTCCAAAGAAATGCTGGAACGCAGCATCGCCGTGGGCAATGCTGCAATCTCCCATTGTTTCATGGACATTGAAGCCAATGTAAGTGTAAAGATATTGTTACTAGCTACAGTCGTACACAAAAGTATGGGTGTGTTAAAAACATAAGTTTGAAGAAAAAAATATAAAATAAAATAAAAAAAATTAAAAATTAAACAATAAATTCAAATTTTTTTTT